GCCACTAGGTGTGAATGTGAGTGCGAATGGTTGTCTGTCCTTGTGTGTTAGCCCTGCGACAGACTGGCAACCTGTCCAGGGTGTACCCCGCCTCTCGCCCTATGACAGCTGGGATTGGCTCCAGCGCCCCCCGCGACCCTGAAAAGGATAAGCGGTAGTGAATGGATAGATGTTTTATTCAGTCATTTTGCAGAGTCATACTTGTTATTTTTTCCCACAAACCCAATAGATAGATGCTTTTAATCTGTTTAATATTACACTGCTGTTGTGTTCATTTGTGCAGAAAAAAAATCGCATCATCATCAGAAAAGATTGAGTATCAAACGACAATCAAGGCAAAATATGGTAACCAAGGTTCCCTTCATAATTTTGATTTGTGCTTTTGTACTTTATGCGTCACATTCACAGGTTGTTAATATTAACACGCTTGTTAAATGGAAAACTAGCATTGCAAAACGAAACTAACTAACTAATTACAAATGTTATATTGTCTTTCAGGATGAAGATCTGTGTTTAACAACAGTTGTGTTCCTGTCTCAGGACGCACAAACACATCATTCAGATGACAAAGAAGAAATAAATAACTAGCTTTGTCTTTAAGTTATATTTGTAAGGTTTACAATCAAAAGTACACATTGGGTTTTTTTTCAATCTCTCATTTTTGGTAACTCTGTCACTGTGTTTTTGTCATCATTCCTGCAGTCATATATGTTCTTGGCTACTTCTTGATTAAAAAAATATATATACACCGCGTTCCAAATTATTATGCAAATGATATTTTTCTCTGTTGTTCCTAAATAGTCAGTTCAAATGACAATTGGCATAATTTTCGAGTCATCGACCAATAGAGTATATTTCAAATGTTACTGAACAAAACTCCCAATGAAAACAGTATGTTTTTCAAAAATAAAAAAACTTAAAATCCACTGTTCCAAATAATTATGCACACAGAGTTTCAAAAGATTTAATAGGTTGTAGAGAATTGAAAATGGTCATTTGTTGAATTTGCAGCATTAGTAGATCAATTTCACTGAAATCAAAAGCTATTTAATCAAAAACATCGTAACAGGTCAAGTTACATATTAACATAGGACCCCTTATTTGATAGCAGTTTTACAATTCTTGCATCCATGGAACTTGTACGTTTTGGGAAAATGTCTACTTGAATGTCTTTGCAGGATGTCAGAATAGCCTCCCAGAGCTGCTGTTTGGATGTGAACTGCCTCCCACCCTCATATTTCTTTGCTTGAGGATGCTCCAAAGGTTCCCAATAGGATTGAAGTCAGGGAAGAATGGGGACCACACCATAAGTTCCTCTCCTTTTACCAGCCAATGATGCAGAGGTATTCCTTGTAGCATGAGATGGTGCATTGACTTGCACGAAGATGGTTTTGTTGCAGAAGGCACAGTTCTTCTGTTTCTACCATGGAAGAAAGTGGTCAGTCAGAAACTCCACATACTTTGCAGAGGTCATTTTCACACCTTCAGGGACCCTAAAGGGGCCGACCAGCTCTCTCCCTGTGATTCCAGTTCAAAACATGACTCCACCACCTCCTTGCTGACATTGCAGCCTTGTTGGGACATGGTGGCCATCCACCAACCATCCACCACTGCATCCATCTGGACCATCCAGGCTTGCACTGCACTCATCAGTGAACAAGACTGTTTGAAAATTAGTCTTCATGGAGTTCTGAGCCCACTGCAGCCATTTCTGCTTGTGAGCATTGGTTAGGGGTGGCCGAATAGAAGGTTTATGCACAACTGCTAGTCTCTGGAGGATTGTACACCTTGATGTTCGCAGGGCTCCAGAGGCACCAGCAGCTTCAAATATGTGTTTGCTGCTTTGTAATGGCCTTTTAGCAGCTGCTCTCTTAATCTGATGTATTTGTCTGGCAGAAACCTTCATCATTGTGCCTTTATCTGCACAAGCCCATCTGTGCTCTGACTCAGCCACAAATCTCTTAACATTATGGTGATCACGCTTAAATTTTCGTGAAATATCTAAGCTTTTCATTACGTGTCCAAGGCATTCAACTATTTCGCGCTTTTCAGCAGCAGAGAGATCATGTTTCTTTCCTATATTGCTTGAAAATGGTGGTCTGCTTAATAATGTGGAACATCCTTCTTTAGTAGTTTTTCCTTTAATTGGGCTCACCTGGCAAACTAATGATCATAAGTGTCCGAGATTGATTTCAGTGATCCAAAGAGCCCTGAGACACTATTCCATCCATGGGCTTAATTGAAAAACAACTTATTTAATCTTTATGACACTTCAACACAATTTGTATAATAATTTGGAACGTGGTGTATATATAAATTTTTGCATATTGAATAAGCAATATACTTTACAAAGATTTCTGAAAACAATATTTTAAAAAACAACAACAAAGTTTTACAGGTGGACAGGAAATATGATAATCATATCACAGCACAAGGTTCCTGCTTTGCACCACCTGGAAAGCTTAAGCTTTTTCTGTGAGTAGTGTGTATATTTTATGGTGAGCGAGCAGGTAGGTCCTGACCCTGCAGAACATAACACTACCACTAAAAGTCATGGAAAATTAGCACAATAGCTTCAGGAAAGTCTGTGCTATTTTAATGCAATATATGATAGTCAATTACTAACTAAATAATGCATGTGTGGTCTATATTCTCCTTTGACACTGATCTCATCTATGCCAAAAAATAAAACAGTCATTAAATATTAACAGATGCACTCTCTTACACCTAACAAAGGTAAAAACTAAATGCCATACAGTCTGCTACTATTAATATTTCATTTGTATCTTCTTTTAGTTGCTGTTTTTTATGACTTTGTTTTTGTGAGTTTAGTATCTGACCTGTTTACTCTTTGAGTAAGAGTTTGTGGACAGAAAGAACAATGCAGCATGTCAAATTAATCTTAATCTAATGAAACAAGCTAAAATAGACAATATTCAGAGCAGTAAGTTTGGAAGGTTTTACTGAGTAAAAGGAAGAGGGGAGTGGGAGAGGGAGGGTTTCTGATCCCTCAACATCATGCAGAAGCATCACATGCTGACCTAGACAATCCTGACATCTATTGTAGATGACAGGTAATGAACTAAAAACTTCTTAACAAACACTTCTCTCAACAGTCAAAGCTAAATTATATTGTTTTCTTGTCCTCAAATGATTGCTGGAAGTTTGCATCATGACTGCGTGATATATATTCTTCATTTTAATGAATCTGTAATGCACTGTAGGGAAATCATTAATGAGTTTCCGTGTAACTGTGTATGTAGGTTCCTCTCAAATGCAAGAGGAGTATGGCTGCTGCAGTGACAATCTTTACACTGACTGTGATTTTAGTGTAGTGTTTTTGAGCCATTGCAGTTACTTCAGTTACAGAATTGGCTGTTTTTATGTAGTGCTCTCCATGGAACCAGAGATTACAGCTTTTTAATAATGGTTTTAAGAGGTTTAAACATTTTATAATCATGATGTGTCCTGACCATGATATACTTTGATACCACAAAACGGAACTTGAGGATCTTTACATTATTCTGTTGAATTTTAATTAAATAAAATATTCAGGAGACAGAAGTCTTGTTGGCTATTCCGAAACACTTAGTTTTCAAAAAAACTAAACACTAAAAATAAAAATTAGGAGGTCATTGTCTGCTTCCAAAAAGTTCATATCTGTGATTTTCTTCTTGACATCAAGGAAGTGCAGTTCACAGGCAGGTCTGCTTATTATGCAAGTGGGGATAACCAATATTCTGCAATTTGGAAGTCTTTTTTTTTTTCACAAATGACACATTTAAGATGCTGTAGTTATTTTCGGGATTTTATTTTAACACAATGGACAGCATTTTTAAATTTTACCAATTTTGTAACCTGAGTTATCATCAATTTCATATAAATCAGTAAATAACAGCCCATTTATTCATGACACAGTTAATCAGTTTTTCTTTTCTAACACAGGGGAAAACATTTTACACTCATGGTACTTGACACTGAAACAACTTACAAGCAAAAGTGCAGTTCTCTTTGTTGTAGCATCAATCTGAGTTATTTGTCCCTCGGGTTCTGGTGGTAAATACATTTTTGTTGTTCTTCTATACATGAACAGGTCAGCTGTTGCTCACATGATAATAATAATGCACCCCTCTTGATACATTCTACCTGAATCTTAGTCATCAGGACCTAACACAGTCCCTAGAAATTTCAGAAGAGTTATCTCTTATATCATAAACATATTGTTTCTCATTCAGCCTCCTGTTATTTATTTTCATTTCCACAGTTTTCAGAGAGAAACACATGTGTAAAACCTCAACTTATAGATTATTATTTTTCTTATGACATCACTGACCCCCTTCATCAGGTCTGCTCACTTTGAGCCAGTACTTTGGACTGCTCATGGCATATGTTAATTAGTGTACTGTTTGCATTTCTGTGAATGCATCATCAGGTAGCTTTCTGATGCGAAAAGAGGGTTTTGTACTGTTGCACACCATTGCCAAATCTGGCTCTAAATATCATGATGACAGCTGAGACCACTCATTTTGCTATTAATGGCTTTCTTGCAAGAATTAGACCGAATTTCAACCAATTAATCCAACTGTGAATATTTTATTTCCTCATTTGGAAAAATGGTGGTGCAGTGTTGTTCCTTTGCACTCAGCAGCACTGCACCTCTGATTACAACTGGTATAAAAAATACTTAATTATTGAAGAAAAATCTTCATATTTGAAGCGCTTAAATAAAAAAACTAAGTTAAAACAAGAAAATGATTTAATGCCTGAAAACAATTAATGAGCTTTAATCATTCAATAACATAAACAATTTAGAAATTAAATATGTGATTCTTAATACATTAATTTCAGAAACTAAGACAGCTATAATAATTTTTTTTTTTTACATTTGTTGTTTTACAAAAAATAAACTAATCCCTATGCTTGTAAGCTATCAAAGCAAAACTAACAAACATAAAACATAGGGAGAATTCTTAAAGAATAAAAACTATGATTATCTACTTTGTGAATCCTGATCCATTTCAAATCTTGCTACTCACTTATTTACTTAATTTTTTCTGCCTAACACAGAAGTAGTCAAAAATCCTCCATATTAGCAGTGCAAACAGTCAGCAGTTTCATTTGCAACACAAACCACACATCAAAAGTGCTGATGGCGACTGTAAATGCCATTTAATCGCAAAGGGGCTAAAGAAAATAATACTGAACCATCTATGAAAAAATATAGTATGAAACTATTACAAATATTTGTTGTATAATAAATGATTCTTTATTGTGCTGCATATTTTTAGAGCTATTCAGCCGTCAAACGTGTTTAAGGACTCTAACAATTGCTGTGATAATTAAAATTTTAAAAACAAATTGAATAGGTAAATAAAAACTGTCTCTATTTTAATGTTCATTTAAAAGCATGGAGTTTAACCCTAACCCCCTAAACCCTACACAAAATTCAATTCCAGTTCCTTTAAATTGTCCTTTAATGTTGATATATATGTACATTATGCAGCTGTACTGAAAATTTCCCAAAAATTTCTAACTAGTCAATTTGGATAAGTTTAGGAAGGTAAATTTAATTCGGACATCACAAAGTTTAACTCAGTTTCTTTTGCACAAGAATGTGTTAACTTTAGCACTGTATTAAACAGTTTTGATTCAGTTTCTAATCTTTAAAATGAATTTAAGAATTGCCACTGTCATACTGGAAAGAAGCATCTGTTAAAACTTTTAATCCTTCAACCACACATAACTATAAAAAAAAATCTAAACTACTATATCAACCATGTGTCTATAAGACTTAGTATAGAAAGTAAAACCAATTACTAGTTAGTTTGCTTTTTGTCATTTTGACTCTGTAGGAGTTTAGATAAAAGAAGATGGGGTTGGCTTTGAATCTTCTTTTAAGATATAACCGCTATTCTATAAACAAGATGGTCAAAATTAACTGGATACATGTCCGATATACAGCTTCAGAAAACATATAAAGAAACCTAAGGTGGTTGCAGTAAATGCTTGGCAGGGCATCTCAAAAGATTAAATGTAAAATTTGGTGAAATCCATGTGTTTTACATTTCATTAACTAAAAAGGACTTTCATCCAAGGATTAAAAACAGCCCTTAACTTAATCTTAACTTTAACCTTAACTATTTTTGATTACCCCTAAAATTGGGCTAGCGTGTATAATAATATAATGACTCCAGTTCCTTAACAACTAATGCAACACTATAGTTGAACCCCTTGAGCTAAAAGGTTTGTAAAACCTTGACTACTGAATGTCATCAAAGACAATTCGAAACTCAGTTTCTATAAATTGTTCAAAAGAAAGAAAGAAAAAAATCAGCTGATTGCCAGAGTTTCCGAAGAGCACCTTAAAGCTTCTCTGGACTCGACTCAATTTTCTTTTTAAAGAGATTTTTGAGCTTTAAAGGTTTCTTGCTCTTTTCCTTTTCCTTGTTCCTGTCATCTGCGGCCTCCGAAGGCAATGAGGGAGCAGGGAGGACAACCCTTGGTTTTGGCAGAGGTGGCTCCATCTCTGCTCGCAGCCTGCCAGCAGAGAGGTTTGTTGCTGAAGACACGGAGCTGCATGATTTTTCAAGGATTCCATCATAAACAAGCTGGCTCAGTGGCCCAACAGTAAAAAAGTCTGATGAAGACTTCCATGGCACCTGGGAAGTTAACATGAGATCAGGCTGCACATTGTGAGCTGCCAATGAACTTGATTCTGATAACTCTTCCCTCAAGATGAATTGTTTAGGCAGTTCCCTTGGGATATCAACTCTATCCCAAGAGATTTTTCCAGTAGGAGTGTCTATGGTGCTTTCAGCATCCTCTCTCAGCATTCTTGGCATTCTCCTTCTGAGAGAACCAGCAGACATTTCAAGTTCATTTCTCAGTAAACCTTTACTTGTTGATGGCTCTAAACAAAACTCTTGCATCTCTGTAGAGGATGAGGTGTCCACAAGTGCTTCGAGTCTCTCTCTGGGCAGTATCTTCATTGAAGCAACATCTGTATAATACTCCAGCTCATCTCTAGATATTTTTCTTGTTGGTATTCTGGTTGTCTCAACTATTTTGTCTTTTGCTGATCCCCTCACAGAGGAATCAAATTGATTTTCCCCTTTATGGAACGCATGTTTCCTGGAACCTGTGTCTTGGGAAACTCCCATTGAATCTCTAGTAATCCTTCTGGAGTCAAATAGATGCTCAGGATCATCCCTTGTCATCTTTCCTGAGGAAGTGTCAGTTGAAGCGCCCATCATATCTTTTGATATCTTCCTTTTTGCTAGATCCGCTGATGCTTCTACTTCATCCCATATCATCTTCCTCACATCTATTCCCAAATCACTTCTTTCTCTGAATGTATTCTTTGAGGGAACTTCTGTCAAATCCCCCACTGTGTCCTTCTCTACTTTCCTGGGTGAAAACTCTGCATCTGTCTCATTTGAAATTCCCCTTTTAAGCGCAACATCAGTGGAAAGTCCAGTCCTGTTGCGTGACATCTTCCTTGATGTTGAATCTATATATGACTCTTCTGCAGACATTTTTAAAGAAGATGTTTCCAACAAAGTATCCAAGGTTTTGTCTCTAACCATCTTGCTACAGGCAATATCAACAGAAGTTTCAAGGTCTTCCACTGACATTTTGTGAGGTGGCGATTCAACAAGAGCCTCTACTCCTTTAGTTAAAGTTTTTGTAACAGGGCTCTCAGCAAGCAGCTCAGTGTCATCGTGATAGAGCTTTCGAGAGGAGATGTCAACAGCAGAACTAGGGAACAGTTTGCTGAGAGGAGGAGAAGTCATATACTCTGAATCTGAGAACCTTTCTTGGGAATCTCTATTAGTGAGAGAAAGGAAAGGAAGCATAAGCAAAGAAAACAGGAGAGGAAAAAAAATCAAAGGACAGCTAAGGCTGGTATAAAGGTAGCATAAGAAAGTGGTTTAAAAATGCACAGCAAGTGCATTTTTAAAAGTTGGGAAAAGGCAGACATACTGTTTTTTTAGTGTTTTTCGGAAATGTTCCTCTTCCTCGTCATAGGAAGAGTAGGGAGTTCGGATGGGGATAAGAAGGTCAGGGTCTGGGGAGATCATGGTGGCTGATGGTTGAGGAATGATCCCTGAGCGACGTGACCGACGTATGGATACCCGTGCTCGAGGAGACCGTTTAAGTGGTGCAACTGCAACTGGTGAGAAACAATTATTAAAAATGAAGAATTTATGCAGAGCAGATCCTGTAAGAGCAGAAATTAATATGTACCCTAATTTTCATTCCAGAACACTACTAATTAAACTTTGTCTGTGAAGCTGCAGTAAACGTACGGTTAGAGAAGTTTGGTGATGTAGGAACAAGGATGGTATATACATGTATGTGTACGTATACTAATAACACCCATTAACAATATAGTTAACAATTTCTTTTACCTCTTTAGTATTTCTGTTATTTGTGAAGCGTTATTAAGGAAGGAATCTGAGCTCTGTTATGAGTGCTTGTTTTTCTTTTTCAGTCAATGAGTTTGTGTATTCTTAGCAAAACACAAACTTATCAGCTACTTAACAAATCCTTCACTTTGGAAATATTTCAGAGTTTTGAGGTTAAACACTGCATACACTATTGTACTTTGATTCTGATCACAAATTCAGTTACTAGAGTTATTTATCTTTCATTCTAAAAAGTTTTAAATGTGCTGTAACTGGGATCCATTTAACATTGGAATATTTTTTGAGACAGAGGATAGTTTTGTCATATATCAGGTTGTTATTAAACTCATATTTGCAGGCAATACAAACCAAATAACTTAATGCGAAATATTAAATTCAACGCCTATTTGCATACTTCTGAATGCATTGATTGGAAGTGTGCAAATCACATATCACGTTCCAGATTCCAATCAAATCTAACGCTGTGTGACACTGACAATAACAAGGACTCAACTAAAGCCTTAAAAGCTCCTACTTCCTGTTTCTTACCTGGTATCTGAGGTAAAATAGGAGAGGTAGGCTCATCTAAAAGATCCTCTATGGAGCCATGAATGGAGCTGTGGCACGAACAAGATGACTGGCACACTCTAGGCAACCCCAGGGCAATTGAGTCGGAGTAGAGCTGAGCAGTGAGTTTTGCTAAACCCGGATTCCTGATGATGGGAAACCCACAGAGGAGCTCAATATGTTGCCAGCGATGAAGACGCTCCCGCAGGCAGGCTGTTACTTCAGACAAGGCATTCCTTTAAGAGATCCAAAAAGCTTTGTGATGTAATTTGTTGAATCTTTATATTGACAGACACAAATACCTGCACAGAGGTAACTTTGTGACTCACTTGGCCTCCAAAATCTTGTGGTCTACTTGGTCTAGAGAGGAGCTGTGGGCCACGTGGAGTGTCCCCAGCACAGAGTTTCTCTTCTTCTTAATCTTCTCTGCCTAGAAAAAAGCATACATATGAGTCTGGGCACTTACATATGAAGGATAGTCACTATAAGCATTATTACTCTTATGTTGCTATGCATTACCTCCTCCTTGGCAGTGGCAAGCTGTAGTTCTGCACTCTGCTTTTTAACATTGTAGTACTGCACCTCTACCTCATGTGTCAGCTGCAGCCACTGCTGAAGCACCTCTGTGACAGTCCAGCTGGCTTGCATGTCCTTCTCGGCCTGCTTCAGCGCTCCACGGACCTGAAGAGGTGGCAAATGTTAAAAATCATCAGTATGCAGAAAATAATTTAGGGTAAAATCTTCAGGCCTGCCAAACTAGGATGATGAGTGTCTTGCATTTGTGAAGCTGCTTGCTCTCGCTGCAGCATTTCTACCTGTTCCAGCTCCTCCTCTGCATATCTGAGGCGGCTCAGCTCACTAACAGCTCCCTGCCTCAGCTCATGCAGACGATGAGCCTCTTCCTGTGCCCCCATGATCTCATCTCTCATCTTCTCCTCTAGGCTCTGTTTTTCTTCTGCCACATTACGCTTTTCTTCCTGGGCTCGCTCCAGTCTGAGTAAATCAAAGCGTGTTTAGTTCAATCACACAAAGCAAAGGCAATCCGGTAACTTACAGTAGCTAAGAGACTGACAGAGAGAAGAAGAAAAAATCACAGTTCTTACTGTTCTTGTAGTTCTATGAGGCTCTGTTCAGCCCTCTGGAGACTTTCTAAATCTTTCATCATTTTAGATATGTGGACTTTGCTGGCTTTGTTCTGAGCCTGGGCAAACCAGCAGCCGCCGACTCCCATCACAACTGACACAATGAGCAGCAGGTCTTTCATGTAGTTATGAGGGGGCCCTATGATTGAATGGACATCAGATCGCTTTAAATAATAATCACATCAAAATGTATTTCTATAGCACATAATAATACAACAAAGTTGAGCAAAGTGCTTCACACTCAGTCAGGGCAATAGCATAAGACAGAATAAAAGAAACAGTTAAAAGGAGGGCAGGATACAATATGAACAATATGGGTAAAAAAAAACACATAACTAGCCACAAAATAGCATACTAATTTGAATCAAAAGCCAGACTAAAATAATAAGTGATAATAATAAGACGCAATTTAAAAGATTGGACTCTGAGGAACGAATATAAGGAGGGAGGTTATTCCAGAGTCTGGCAGCTATGACAGCAAAGGCCTGATCACCTCTGGACTTCAGACGAGACCTCGGTTGCGTCAGGACCATTTGATTGGAAGATCTAAGTGCCTTATTAGGGATAGACAAATAGAGGAGTTCGCATAGATAGCTGGAAGCCAAATTGTTTAAAATTTAAGGTAAATTAAAAGGTAAGCAAGAGAATTTGGAAATTGATGCGATATTCAACAGGGAGCCAATGTAAGTTGGCTAAAACTGATGTGATGTGGGCATAATTTCTAGTACCAACTAAGAGACGTGCAGCTGTGTTTTGAAATAACGATATGAACATTAAGTAAGTTGAAACGAAAGGCCTTAAATGTAAACCGATTTAGCAACTTTGCTGCCTAATCCATCATTTAATGCTGATTTTAGATTAAAGGTTAAGAGGAAGAGTAATACAAAAGTAGTTATGCAATGAAAAGAATGGCAACAGGACATGAATGTATCTTTCCTGCTTCAAAGACATCAAAGCTACTGTCTGAGGGAATAAAGAGAGGATTTCTTCTTACGTGTAGGTGGTCCGAACAGAACAACATCCAGAGCTTTGATGGTGAGCTTCTGTTTGTCTCTCTGGTCCTGAACTCTTAGCTGGCCACTCAGGAATGAAGGCTCATTAGCTGCAATCCTACAAATGGATTTTATGGTTTTTATTTTAATGGCTTATTTGGGATTACCAAAATATGCATACATGTGTGTTTTTAGGGTTTCCAGGGTGACGAGCCCTGCCTTGTATAACATATGTATGGTTGCCAGAAGAGAGTTAACAGTAGCAAAAGAAGAAGAACAATGGCGACACATGTTGACTACAGATCACTGTGAATCAAACAAACGGGAGAGAATGTGGTTCCCTCAAAACTTAATCTGAGAATATAGTTTCTAGAAGACCAACTTGTTTATGTGGCGAATTGCCTGTACACCCTCTTCAGTTATTCTCACCTGGGGAGTGTGTTTCCATTGACCTTAAACTCTTTAAAATTTCTCTCATACTGTGGCAATTCAACAAAATCCTTCAGCCAGCGGAGCACGTCATCCTGAGTCCAATTATGTACTAAAACAAAACAAGATCAAGTTTCAGATAAAACATGATACTGGACACAAACACACACACACACTCTGTTACACCCGGATACCTTCGGATGACTTCCAGCTTCTCCAGAGCTCCTCAACTGTGATGTGCTGGTCTTCTCTGTGCAGGTTGCTGTGTTTGTTAGTCTGTTGCTGCTTCATGTCTTCAATAATGAACTGCGACATTGGAGAAAAACAGTACAACAGAGTGAAAATAGGACTTTTTAAAATTTTTATTATGAGGTACAACACTAAAATGCGAAGATAAGTGTCACAAGGACATCATATTGTTTGAACTTTATGTCCAGGATAAATAGAGTGAGTGCTGGTGTGAGTCATATGCTTAGATTTCAATCTAGGAATAAGGAGCGGTTGTTTTTAGTTTGCATTTATTTAGAATGGTTGCAGAACCATAAGTGTGTGTTGCAAACTTCAGGGATTGCGTGTGTGTGTGTTGGTGCTGTCTTGGAATGTGTGCTTGGCTCTAGACGAAGGCTTCATATGATGGCTAGAGGAATTTTGGGACTTTGATGAGCCCAGACCCCTCCTCTGACATCTCTATGGTAACTGCAACCTGAGCCCCTGGATACTGTATCCCTGAGCTGCATTCTGGAAGGCAAAGGCATTAGAGAAATCTAGGTTGATTACCTGACGCACATACAAACAGTATAGCAGCATATTAACGTTGAGGTAGTTTACCATTCAAAGAAATCTCAGGGGGGAAAAAATTGTCATGACACACTGCTTACTGTTACGAATGACTACAAAGGTCACCAGTGTAACGGTTTTCTATTTGTGCAAACCAATTTTTGTCACTGAGCCAAAGGCAAAGTTATACTGCTATCCTTGAAGGAGCATTTGACTCTAGCAGCAGTGATGACACCTGTTGTTGCACTGCTAAACACTATGTGCATCAATCATGCAAAAACATACAAGCACAGGGATTAAGTAAAATAATTCAATAAATAAATAAAATAAGAAAATGGGTTACATATTTCATGAAGAGCAAGGTGTCTACCTCCACACTCTCTTCCACCTCAATCCCCCCATCTTGGTCATCATCCATCATCTGATGGATGCTCCGAAGGGCCTCCAAGCTGAAGCGATCAGCCTCGCTCATGCATGGTGGAGACACTACGGCGCAGGGGTCTGCATGGGTGGGAAAGGCAATAATAATACATCTCATTATTTTTGCTCAGTTTATTCCAAAAGAACTTTAATTTGCCAACTTTACATCGTTATTTAAGCTGATCTATAAGAGCTTTTCATTATTTTGGCTCACATAGCATCATCTATAATGTCCACAAGATCAACATGGAGAGCCTGGGATATCTTACTGTCTCCTTTGTGCATTTGGTAGTTATCACTATATCTCAAAAAAAAAAAAAAATCCCATGTAATAGCAATTCTAAATTGCATGTTCATCCGCTGGGAATTACACTGTTCTGTTTAAAAATGGTTAAGAGTCCCGAAGTAAAGTACAATAAATCTCAGTGTCCTCTGTCTGATTCTAGGGAGGTACATTACTTGCATCCTTTTCACTCTTAATGTTTGCTTTGTTTTGTGTATGTATCCCTTTTTTCCTAACAATATACTTAAAATACAATCCTATCAACCTATTAAAATAAAACCAAAGTAAAAGCAACACCATTTCAACCCAGATAAATTAGAATAAAATGGAAGACAAAATGGAAATTAAACCAAGTGCCCAGTCAGTACAATACATTAGCTGAGAGTTAACAGTTTCCCTTTAAAATCTACTTATTAGTTAAACAGACTGCGGAGGTGGTTATTTCACTGGCTGCATTCAATGTCAAGAAGCATTGAATTTAATCGTTATGTGGTGTTTCTAATATAAATAATTTCATAAATACTGTACTCAAATTCTTTTTTGGTACTTTTAGTACTTTTTTATGACATTAGGAAACTACCCAAAGTCTAAAGTTCCAGTTTTCTGAATGAATTTATTAGAGTTAAATGGGCTTAAAACAGCTTTCACAAATTTTAGCAAACAAATAAGGTTTTAGGATCAAGCCTTCACTCCATGAAGCAACACACTATGAGAAAATGTGCAGGAAATACATTTCATTGAATCATAATGATGACTCAGTGGAGTCATTATGATCAAATCGACCGTTGTAATTTGGTTTAAATCGTACAGTGAGTTCCTGGCTTGAGTACAAGTACACTGATGCATTAGAAGATGACGCATAGCTTTCCGTCATCTGTCAGTTTGCTGAGTCACAGCCCATTTTCGTCTCAGTGACTCTCAAGTCTGAGTGTTTCAAGGGGCAAGAGGCTGAGAGTCAAAGGTCTGCTAGCTGAGCCCACCTCGAGCCACCTCCAGTGATGCTAACCACTCTGTGCCAAAAATGTAATGAAGAAATAATCCATGAGTAAAGAGAGAGAGAGGGGAGAAAGCATGAGGGAGGGAGACTTCTATGGAAAAAACAAACAAACAGAGGATTCCCATTTCGCTGCATCCTGCCCTTAATCTTCTTACAAAAATATCGGCATTTATCTCTGATGGTTCTTGTTGTGTTTTTTAATATGAAGCAAATCCTCTGGGAATTTTTGCATTTTTAGACAGTTACAACCACACGAGCCATATGTTTTCTTCCTGTGCAAGATTATCTTAAAACATACACAGATACATAAACACAGGGTGTGTTTTCAGAAGGTTTCTCAAGTAAGGAAGAACAGCAGAAAGTAGGAGTAAAATGATTTCAGATTATTAACTGTTTGAATGATGTAGGCATCTCCTACTCAACACAAGTGATGTGCTCTTTTCATGATAAGTAGGAGGGAAAACTCATTTAAAATGTTATAGCAGAACATTTGGTAAGCCGATGTTTCACTTGCTGCTGTCATAACAGAAATCTATGACAGTTACAGGCTATATGTTTTTGTTCTTCTTATCATCACCACAGGCAGGAGAATCTACAGTAACGACATATTTTATAAAAGCAAAGATATTATCCCTCGTTTGCTGATGAAACCTGAATTCCAGAATAAGGAGAAGCTGCTTCGATGATGGAGCTTCTTCTGCCTCACAAGGTGGTGTAAACAAAGGGACATAAAACAGTGTTTGTGCCTTTACTGCTCACTTTGTGTGAGAATTGATGTGTGGTGCTGTTAGGAATCACTTATATTTAGGGACAACAATTAAAATGAATTAATTACTGCCAGGGTTAAGGTTGGGGCAGCAACGAGTAGAAAAGGATTCCAGGAAATAGCTGTAGGTCGACGTAAATGTCCTCTGTAGCGATGGGAAACACAACTGTGAGTTTGTGCGCAGGGGATTGTGTGGGTTTAACGATGTCCCTGTAGGACCTCCACATAAAAACTTTCCACAGGTGAGCGGAAGCTGCTGGAATCCTGAGAGAGTGGAGCACATTGTGGCACGTGTATATTTAGATTAAATTGTCAGAACGCTATTATTAACCCCAGCAACAAGTTTGTGCCCGATTAATGGACACGTGTTTGTTTGTTTTTAACAGATAAACAAAAACAACAAACAAAAAGTTCCTGTTTCCTAAATATATTTTTGGCAGCACGTGCAGGTTGCACAAACACCCCAAAACGGAATTCTACTAACAGATGTTCTAATAACCTGATGGTTTTCTTTTAAAAATAAACAAACAAATAAATGATCAAGGTTAAATTTCCAGGTTAAATTTTAAAAAATGAGTCTTTCCTTAAGTGTAAGTGTCAAACAGCCGACTATTACCGCTATAATCGACGCAACATCAACAGTGATAGTGCAGACTTAAGATCCAGTTTAAATACTTAGGCATGCTTTAATTTCTTTCGTGTTTTCTCTTTTGTTGGCGCCATGCATCATTCAGTACATACGCGCCGGGTCGAAACTTGCGCTCTCACCGGGGATGGTAACACCCTCGAGGTCCCCGGCAACTTGTGCGGCCCAGAAGAGCGCAGCGGGGAAAACGAGCAGTAGCGGGGACGGAGGGAACATTTCACACGGATGGCAATGTTGTCGTCCAAAGCTGAGAAAGTTCTCAAAATAAACGAATAAAGAACGTATACATAACCAAACCCCCGTTTCGGAGGCACCAGCGACAGTCTGCGAAAAAGTGTTAAGCGATCTGCGTTGCTATTATGGGTACATCCAGAAGGGAGATGTGATAGGCTGCTGATGTTCACTGGAGAGATCTGGCAGTGGCACTGGTGTGCAGATTGAAACGTAAAGTTTAGGTGGGTAAAAATGATATATAAAAAAGTTGTAATCGACGCGTAATTCAAACACAAAAAGGATTAATCAAAGTTTTTCAAACTTGCGCATGATATTCCAGGAAAAAGACAAAAACAACATCAAAACATCTGATTCAGATATAATAAATCCATATTCAGTGTGATATAATCATCAGAATAAATGGTCCTGGGTGAGATACAATTTTTTTTTTAAACAATCCAGTTACAACTTAAAGGCACAGCAGTTTAAATGGTGGTTGATCTGTTTTCTGATTTTTATAATCCAACTAGTCGTACAAAAGGTTCCTGGCCTCTCTCTCCCGGCAGCCCTTTCCCAGAGATGTCATGTTCTTCCTCAGAACTCCACCCCCTCACTCCATTTGCAGCATGGGGGCCTCTTAATTAGTTTTCCTAACATATTTCCCAGCCATACAAATGGGGGTCAGAGTTACTTTCCTTTTCGTTAAGGTAGGGACAACCGCTATAATACACTGCACACTGTCGAGTGTAACCCTTAATGTTTGGATGAGGATCAATTAAATCCCATAGATCTCACTATTGGAAGTATTTCCTGAGATCAGCTAATGATTGGCTGTCCTGATATCATCGCCTGACTGTCTGGGCGAGGGAGTCGTATCTGTGATTGGAATTCTTCAAGCTATTTGAAAGGGTTTTGCCAATGTTTGCACAGCTGTTCATTAATGATGTCTATATGTAGCTATGCCATTTATTACATGCTCAGATGCACACTCTTGTTAAAGTAAAAGCATTGCTAGAAGCATAAAGAGAGATGGACCAAAGCAGACCACACGGATACACAGGCATACACACCAAACACACAAACATTAACAGCAACAAAGTGTCAGGTTTCATTCCAGCAATACGGCTCCCAGTTTAAAAATAAGTCAGACAGATTTGACCTCTATCCCGGGTAGCATGCTTCAGTGGATAGTGTCTAAGCAGGCCCCAGCAGGAAGTGAGTATACAGCATGTTTGGTTACATGATAGACAGAAACAGGAAAAGAGTGCATACATATTCATCAAGATTATGCACAGATACTGATATTAACAATTCACCAAGACATGGACACTGGAGGAAAATTGAGTCAGGATATTGTGACTTGGTGATGCAGTAATTCACAATTAAATATTTCATCAGGTAGGTATATTTCCAAATATCTTAAATACCTCTGCTCCTGCAGACCAAGGAAGGATCAAAGACATCAGTTTTTTAGGGCAATTAAAGTTGGAGCTTCTAATTTCATCATTAGTGTTTAAAAAAAGAAAAGGAAAAAGAAAGAAAGGAAGAAATTAAGAGATGATTCACCTATTTTACATACCGGATGAGTCCAGTTGTTGTATGCTTAGAGGATGGTCACAGAAGGGACATTTACACTTTGTTTTTACAGTCTAACCCTTTACTAGAAGCACCTTTTGTCACATCAACAGCTATTTTGAAATAAGTAATAATTCAATTTAAGCTAACATGTCTTTGAAACAGAGCACCAAGTAAAAAATGAATCATGCATATACAGACAGAACAAGGAAAGCCCACATAGAACAGTCTCAGGAAGGTTTGACTCAAGACTGTTCATGCAGGGCTTGAAACAAATAATTCACACTGGGAATTCTTCTCCTACCCGTACCCTTCTCTTCATCGTCTCACTCTTCTTATCTCTTATTCTTGGTATAACTGGTACTAAACTAGTTATTATTGCCATGAAAACGCATTTACAACTTATACAGCATAACAGCATAATGCAATAATATCTTGTCAGCTTGTACAAAATTAAGCAAGTCAGATCCTGTAGGACTAGGATGTTACCACCTTGGTATGATTGTTCAAACTTTTATCCTGTACCTCTGGGAAGTCGTTTATGGGGTCACACTCTGACCCCCCCCACACACACACAGTATTCTTTGTTCACATGTATACCTATGTAAGATGTTATATGTTAATGACCCTATGCATATTCATGTAATCACAACAAAAGGAGTGCTATGGGGAACCTGGCTGAGAGTCTGACGGAGGTCAAGTGGTGGAACGACACTTGGCTCCAGGCAGGTCTCCCTCATGCATGAGTAACAAGAACTTTGCCTACTTCGTGTCTTGCTTGCTGTGTAATTATATTGTCTTCAACGTTCCAGCGAATAGGTTCAAGCTACAAACCTATCAACCTCATCACTTAATGACCCAAAGGGCAGCCAAAGATGACTATTAGCTCTGCTGAACTTTTGTTCAGGCATTGTTTGAAAAAACTAAATTCAACAAAAGGTCAGCATCAGTATGACACTAATGAGAAATTGGTTTACTGGGAAGAGATAGTATTTCTTTCCCCCAGTACATGAGCTCACTTTAAAACCCTTTAAATCTCAGCTCAAACTAAAGATCAGCTCTTCAAGAAAGCAAGACATTTTTGACATTCCTCCTTTGCTTCTTGACTTTCTCTGAAAATATGCAAGCGATAAGACACTTTTTATAAAAGGCTTCACTTATATGTGGGAGAAAAAAATGACTACTGCTGTATGCATTGCTATGGTAACAGGAGGAACTGCTTGTTTAGATTTGAGACCCAGTACAGAGAGTACAAAAAGAGCAAAATCATTAAAGAGAGAACACTGACAGTGTATTACAGGCTTCTCTCTCTCTCTCTCTCTCTCTC